TCATCATGAGCTGACATCAGTTACAGAACCACTGGAAAACCTGGGAGTACTGGGCAGCTGTTTCGTCCTAGTTTGGGTCTCTTTAGCAGTGCGCGCTCACCGAGCTCGCCTTGTAACCAGAAGGTCCTGGGTTCGAATCCAGGTGGGCGCGTATTGCTGAAGAGTCCCAAACTAGGACGAAACAGCTGTCCAGTACTTCCAGGTTATCCAGTGGTTCTCTAACTGATGTCAGTTCATGATGAAATCCTCCATGCAATTAAACAAAATCCCTATCAAACCAATACTTAAAACTAAAATGTTTGTGATTATAATCATAGTTCAATGTCAAGTGTCAAAACAATTAATGGCATATACAGAATAATTCATATTATGGATAGAGCTTGGAAGTGGTGTGCAATTATAGGATTAGTAGACAAATCGAATAAAATAAAAGCGTCACGTAATATTGTGTGAAATTTGATAGCATAGAATTTAATGTTGCGAAACAGAATTGATTTAGAATGACAGGTGGAACGAGTGAAATAATAATACCGGGGACAGTTCAAAGTGAGAATAGTAATAGTAACAATTGACTTAATAAGGAAGAGTATACAAATTGAATAGACAAAAATGAAAAGTTGGTAGAGCTAAAATATGATTGGGGATTACCATACTTTAGCATAGAGGGATTAAGACCATGAAATTTGGAGGGGTTGAACGAACATTTAACTACGATTATAATCACAAACATTTTAGTTTTAATTGCACTTCATATTATTATTATTATTTCATGCATTCACACCTATGTTTCAATTCCCTCACCGGATATAACTTCTTAAAAACCATATATATACGATTGTACAGCTTGATGATAAATTCGTTGAAAAGAGTCTCTTCGCTGAATCATTTGTTTTGATTTTCTATATGTTACAATGGGAATTTTCCATGGCATAGCATATCTGTTAGTTTGATCTCTGACTGATATTACTTAAAGAAACATTGAGGTCTTAGGTTTACTGAAGAGCTGTTTCGTCCTTGTTTTGGGGGATTGTTTGGCAGTGCACCTATGCTGCTACCGCCAGAGAACAAACTCAGGTTTACAAGGCAAGTTCGTTGAACATTTATTCAGCAACTGAAGTCTTACTTCTGTCAGTTAGTGATTTTTAGAGTCCCTGTCACACACCGTCATAGGCGTGTATTTGTTGCCACACCCAACCATGTGAACCACACTGGTCATAGATGAGCACTAGGATTCTAAACAACTCCATCCAATCAGAAGTGAAACCAATTAAATCTTTACAAACTAACACTTAATATTTCTTTCTGTAAAACTATGAATGATATCTGTGTCTTAAGCATTTGAAAATAATCTAAAAAATAGAAAGGAAATCATAATATATTCCATTACTTTCAGGGTTTATCATCCATTTAACTGTACGTTAACGTTTTCGGTGTAATTGGGTTATCTAAGCTGAATGATGCAATTGTGAATCTTCTATTATCCTTCTAGACAATATATCCAGCAGTATCTTTAGAATTTAACATGAATGAAGTAGAAATTATTTCTGATGTCTGCGACTGCAATTAACTGTGCCGTCAGAGATTTGCTGTTACCGATACAGGCTGAATATATAGTGATGTTATATAGAAGACCAAAGACAAAGCTTCACAGAATAAACTTTTCAAGCTCAATGAATATATGAACGCCAAAAGTCTCCCTACTGAGATATGAATTGTTTCAGAATATGCTGTATTACAAATCTCTGCCTCGACTTCATCAACTCTAAAAAGGCCTTTGACATTCTTTGACTGAGAAGTAATCTGGGAAATACTTCAACACTACGGATTGCCCCAAACCTATATCACCCTCATCCAATAGATATATCAGAACGCTACATGTCAAGTGATCCACAACAGATAACTCGGCGAAGCTCCTAAAGTGAAACAGGAGTAAGGAAATGCTGTCTACTAGCACCAATGATATTCATGACAGTGATGAACTTAGTGATGCGGCATACCATGGAGACTTCGTCGATGATTTATGTCCAATGCAATACAAACTTGAATAATTATTAGGTGAAAACCAACAAACTGGTTGAAGAAGCAAAGAAAACATGACTTCAATTGAACATAGAGGAAGCAGAAGTGAAGGTAACCAACCAACCATAATGAGTACTAATCACTATCAACAGAATAAATTTGAACAAGGTTATCACTTTCCCTTATCTAGGTGTAGCATCGTTTCAACCTAGAGGTGTGGCACGGAGGAGGATTTTAAAGGCAGGATAACAAAACCAAGACAGACATTAGTGTGAAATCAATTTGGAAGTCTAACGCAATCAGCATCAAGAACAAGATTCGAATTTTCAACACTAATGTCAAGTCAGTCAGTTCTGTAGAGTTCAGGAGCTTGATTAATGTGTCACGGAAAGCATTTCCAACAGGCAACCGGAAACTTTCAGCAACAGCTGTCTTTCCTCCATAATGGTAATCAAATAGCCATAAAGGATAAGAATAAAGGGGACTATGGGAACGAACTAACCAACACTATATTCGCCAACATAAATGTCGAAGAGAATGGAGATAGATCAGATACACGCTAAGAAGACTGTTGAGTGACACTGGATTCGAGGCCAGCTCTCAAGTGAAACGCGAATGGGGAAGGACGAGTTGGGCGATTGGTTGAGGAGGAGATGGTGAAAGCTTACAGACAATCATGGAGCCAGATAAAGAGGACTGCAGAGAACCTGATGAAATGGTGGTGTGCTAGTGAAGCCCAATGTTCCACTATAAAGTCAAGGGGATGATAACATAACATAATATAATGAGAGGTAAATTATAGAAAAGATTGATATTTTGAGAAGAAGTGTAAAGTTGGCTGATGTACATAATTTACTGATACGTCACACGTGGCCCGGGGGTCCATTCCCAACCGATGCACTCCTAAACCTCAGTAGGCCGATAGTAAGGCTGGTAAAGGGGGAAGGCATTTTTTTATTTTTTTTCTTATAGCTTGATTCCACACCGTATTTTGGTACAAGTATGAAATTTTCAGTATGTGCTATTGGTAGCCCAAACTTAGCAGGTGGACCATAGATATCAAGTGTGCGTCGGCGAGGGATCGAACCTCGGACCATGTGCATGGTCGGCGAGAGTCCTAATCGCTGTGCCACCGACGCACAGGGCACGAGGCTAGAAATCCCACTCCGTAGAAATTAAACCAGCGCTACCGAGACTTCACAGTTCTAGTCTGAAGCCCAATGTTCCACGCGGGGAGTAAAAAGGAATAAAAATAATTTTCAAAGATACACCAAAGGAACATTGAAGGGAAGTAATGAGTGCAAGATGTACGCAAAGCAGATGTTTGTGAAGAACATTATTTACTTATTCACATAAAGATAACACGATTTATGAGTAGTACATTGAACTGAAAATATAAAGTGTAATTAACAAATTACCTTAAAACAGAATGGTGATAGTGCAGCAGAAGCCATAATATGTCATGGAATTTAGTCTATTACTATCTCATTTCAGTAGTATTAACTAGTGCCTTCTGTGCTTCATTTTTATTAGGGATATGGTTGCTAATCCCGCAAACGAAATTCCTTCTTTTCTAGGCTTAGGACTGGCTAGAAACCTAGGTGAGGTGGTGGTTGAAGGCGTTAGGCAGGAAACGTGAATTTAGTTTCCATGCTAATGGGCATAAAACAGACATAAACAGGATTATTCTCACACGCAGCACTAAGTACAACAGACTGAGATGCTACACTACTGAGATATTCAGGCTCATCAAAAATACCTGTGTGACGATACAGAATTAGAACTGTAGAGTGTTATAGGTAACTGAATACAAAAGTGTGATTCAAAGAAACCAGAGACGGCAACCAACCTCGAAAATCATCGTCAACAAAAACTGTCTGGAAACTATTAGCCATAGGCTGTAAAATTACCCCACGAAGTAACTAAGCAGTAGGCAACGCGTCGGTGGTTCATTGGTAGTATGTCAGCCAAACTACACATGTGGTTTGGGTTTCGACTCTCGGTTGACACATTCCCGAACCTTGCGTGAACGGCAGTAAGGCCATTAGACAATGGAAGTTGGGTGTTATGCTAGCAACCCTACCCTATAAAAAGCACTGCTCACCAACCCAGCAGGTGGTTTGAGATTCCATCTCCGGTCACGCAGGCATCCCTTTTCTTCGCTTAAGCAGTAATAAGACTATCAAAGAGGGAAGGTTGGGCAAGAGTCTGGCAACCGCATCTCGTAAAAATAAATACTACTGCTACCGAAAATTCAAAGGTCTAGCTTGAAGCCATACGTTCTACTGCCAAGGTAAAGGAATAAGAAAATCTGAAACTTGAAAAGTCCATTTTGAAGTCATATGTTGCATTCAGAACACCGAAGAATGATAAAAATAAGTAACGCAAATAGTCTTCACTGATTAAATAATCGCATTTAAAGCATTCAACTCACAGAAAGCAATCATATCGCATAAAAAGCCAAACAGTGATGTTATGAAACAGAATCGGTTGTAGCAACAAGACGTATCGAATGCCTAACTGATAGCTGCTACCACCCTGAAGTGGTCTTTGGGCTTGCATATCCAATCATACTGACTGAGACTAGTGTTTCTGCAGATCGTGCTCATACCACAAATGTCATTTGGATTGTTGTCAGACTAAAAGCAGTTGACATCACAGCGTAAACCGGCTGAATTGAATGAGAACTCAAACTGTTAGGGAATAGCGATGTAACAGAAGTAAGGTGTTTCCTTCAGATGACCACCATGTTGCCTTTCCACCCTGGGTGAGAGGGGTTGGTTGCATAAAGTCGATCCCGAAAATAGTCCATCCCGACTTACTTTACGGTGACTTGTAGCCAGTGTTAAGATAATCTGTTTCAGCTACTCCAAACATCAAATCAGTCAGAAAGACAGGATGTTACCTTTTTCATAATGATGTCAAAATTAACAGACTACACACACTAGACGAACTAAAGAAAAAATCACACACTGACTTACATCACTATCAGTTATTGTTAAAGCATTAAATTGTGAATCAGCGGTAGTCTTCTGCTTCTTTTTACATTTCATGCATGCAAATAAATTTCCACATGTGAACGAATGTCTTCCATTCGAAGGGTGTTCTGCATTACCAGCATCAGCATCATCATCATCACCTTCTCCATTCGACTGTTGCTTATGCTCCTCCTCCTCCTCCGTCTTCTTCTTCTGTAGTTGTTCTTTTTGTCGTTTTTCTCTACGTTGACGTTGTTTTATCAATTTGTGTGGATCAATTTGTGTCATTTTATTTAACCAATTTTGAAATGATTCAGCATTGGCATAATACAACGGTCCACCATATTTTAGCATAATAATATGAGGAAGTTTTATGGCCTGCAAAAATTTCAATAGAAGTAAAAAACAAAACGCGCAATTCAAATTCTGTCCAAGTGGTTGAACGGTCAACAAACTACTGGCCTCAAATCCTGAAGAAAGGTCCTAGGTTCGATCCCCCGGGGGAGGGGCGTACATCTGAAGAGTCACTAACTAGGACGAAACAGCTGTCCACTACTCCCCTGTTGGTTACAGGCTTTCATCATGAGTTAACATCTGTTAAACAATCATCGGAAACCTGGGGCTACTAGACAGCTGTTTCTTCCTACTTTGGGACTCTTCAGCAGTACACACCCACCGGGGTTCAAACCCCGTTACAGGATGAGCTCATAGATTCCTTTTGGTTTTCAATGGTTCTCTACCTGACACTAATCCCTGATCAAACTTGAAGTGGATTCTAAGTAATTAGTGAAGATAACTGCTACCTTGCCGTGGTGGTCGGGCTTGAATGCCGCAGTGACCCAACAAGCTAAACTGGCTGGGACTCATGTCCCTGCAGGTCTTACCATGTCAGGAAGGTTGTTTGGATAGCGGTTAGACTAAAATCAGTTACCATGGGGTACATGGGATCCAGAATTCAATCGGATCAAATGGCGTATGAACCCATATGGGTCACCGGCAACCATGGGAACGCAGCTCCTGACGCTGCTCCGCTGCCTTGGGGATTAGACTCCAAGTCTAAGGCTCGGGGGGTGGTCCCTAAGGAGAACCACCTGCTTCCGTCTGGGCGCCCGGGTAGTATCTCAGCCCTCACACAATACTGTGTGGCGCATCTTTCTTGGTGCCATATTGTACCAAGTTTTTCTGCGTTTAAAGAAATAAATAAATAAAATAATTAGTGAAGAGATGAACGCACACACACACGAACACACATGAAATAAACATTTCTATCCGAGACTGTTTTACACAGAATTACAGATCAACATAAGCTGTACTATTGACATCATGCTGAAGAGAGAGAAAACATGGTAGTTCTTGATGGTGGCATCCAATACGCAGTGGTCTAATATCTTTATTTATTAGAAAAAGAAACTTTAATGCACTTTATGCATTCTTGATATGCTTACCAGCTATACATATTTTCCAGGGTTCGATTCCCGATAGATTCACACCCTTACCTACCTTAGCCGGTTGTAAAGCACACCACTGCTACTAAAAGTTCAAGCCTCAAGCTTGAAGCCCTGTGTTCAGTTTATATGAACAATTTATTACCTGGATGCTGGAAGAAACCATGATCTGCGCATTAAAATTCATGATGCTTGAAAATTCGTGTATTCCAAATTATACAGTAACACAAATTAATCCGTGGATGGTGACTAGTAGTGGAATCCAAGATGCGTATTTCGTCCTATTTGGGACTCGTCATCTGCAGGCTCGATGGAAACATCATCATTCACTGAGGAATGCACGTACATCCAGCTGACCACGAGTCCCAAACAGGACGAAATGCACACCCTGAATTCCACTGCTAGTCACCATCCACCAATTAACTTATAATTAAATGCCCAAACATCGTTGAAGCATTTGCACAAGAAACCGACATATCAACCTAAGATCGAGCACTTCGGTCCCTTCAATCGACGGGAAAATCTAAAATTGAATTAAATATTCAGTAACATTTTTTTTATTCCTTCACGTTCCCAATGGTACATAGGGCTTCAAGATAGAGGCTTGAAGTTTCTGTAGCAGTGTTCATTTTTACAGGATGGGGTTGCTAGTCTCATGCCCAACCTTTCCTCTTTACCAGCTTTATTTCTGGCTTAACGAGGTAAAGGAGTATGTCGATGGCCGGGGATCGAACCCCGGACCATGTGCATGGTCGGCGAGCGTCCTAACCGCTGTGCCACCGACGCACCATTCAGTAGCATAATTCCATATTATCAAGTTTACAATTTGGATATTAGTTAGTAGTTTGCAATGTCTACACAGAGTATATAAAAAGCCAAAGCATTCTAACAGATATTTAGACTTCATTTGATCTCATTCGTTATCTGTGAAGACAGGCTTAGTTAAGTGTCTAACAAACCGAGAAATAGCACCTGTCAGTTGATTCAATTAGACAAAATAATATAATTTACAAAATACCTTGCAATGACTGTAAGTTAAGTCAACTACATAAGTCACACTAGTAGATAGGGGACGGACTGATTATGGGAACACAAGAGTTTAGCTAATTGTTGAATGACTGACCCCACCAAGAGAATTAATTTAGAAATGAAAACACAGCATGTGTCAAGCATGCATTAACATAACCACATTATGGGGTGGGACAGAGCTTTAATTATAACAAGTAATATAGATAGCTGGCGAGAGTTGTTAATTACTGAATCTTTGTTCATCGAATCTATACCTAAGACAAACAATAGAAATGTGCATATACCAGTTCACCTGCTCGTGCGAAGCTAGGTACATAGGTCGTTGTATGCGCGTCCTTTCAAAACGTGTTAGCGAACATTACCTAGGGTGGCTGGAAAGAGTAGGCACTGGTTCAATCATAAGCGCAATAACTGAACATCTTGTAAATACCTGTCACAGAATCTCAACCGACTCATCATTTAGAGTCATTTACAAAGTAAACAAAAATCTACCAGAAAGTGTGCTTGCATCCATGTGAACTTCTCTATATAAATGCGATTCTACAGCTTTTGAGAATGAAATCGCCGAAAAGATATTTTTGCTGAACTTCGTCTTCGCTTCTTTCTAATGTCCTTATGGGTGTTTCCCACGATCAATAGAAATGACTCACCACCAATACCAGAGATATAGAAAATATTACTCCTGACCATATTGAAGGACAGGAAATAATGTTCCATTTTATTTTGTCTTAATTTGTTTATTATCAAGCTGTACAATCGCATATATATATATATATATATATATATATATATATATATATAGGATATGTATACCAGAAACAAATGCTTCGAATGAACATGTGTTGCCTTTGGATGAAGAATCCATATTTACGAAAGTTCCACTGACAGAGATCATATACTTTATAACCATATATATTGAAGAAAACAAATTGAAAATAGGGATACCCACTACAGATATGAAAGAACTACTTTTGAAATGTACATTGAATGTACAATTTACTTTCAATGAAACAATCTACAGACAGAATGATCGTATAGCAATGGGTTCTCCATCGAGTCCACTCTTTGTAGACTGTTTCATGGCCAGTCTAGAAAATGACCAGTCGAAGTCAACAATCCTAAGCTTTAAAATGCACAAAAGGTGTGTAGATAACATATTATTTGCGATAGTCATTGTAATTTGAGGAATATATAAAGTGCACATAATGGTTGCCATTCGGCGATCAAATTTCACACACGAAATGGATGAGTCTAGTATTCATATCCTCGATTCTGTATGACATTAATTGATTTGATACTTGACATTTAACTAAGATTATCATCACAGACATTTTAATTGCATTTCACACTATCATTAATATTTTATGCATTCACACCTATGATTCAATTCCCACACTGGATACAACATCTTAGAAACTATTTATATATATATATATATATACATATATATCCGGTGTGGGAATTGAATCATAGGTGTGAATACTTTAAAAATAATAGCATGAAATGCAATGGAAATTTAATGTTTGTGATTATAATCATAGTTAAATGTCAAGTGTCAAAACAATTAATGTCATATATAGAGTAATTCATAGAATGGATAGAGCTTGGATATGGTGTGCAATTATAGGATTAGTAGACAAATCGAATAGAATAAACACGTCACGTAATATTGTGTGAAATTTGATAACATTGAATTTAATGTTGTAAAATGGAATTGATTTAGAATGACAAATGAAACAAATGAAAGAATACCGGGGACAGTTCAAAGTGAGAATACTAATAGTAAAAATTGACACGATAAAGGAAGGGTATGATAGAGCCAAAAAATGATCAGGGATTACCATACTTTAGCATAGAGTGATTAACTCCATGAAAGTTGGAGGGGTTGAACGAAATTTTTCTGTACACAGGGATCTGTCTTTTCTGTTTCGACAGTCAAAGCTTCAGCAACACAGATGAGTTGGATACGTAGTGATTTCGGTAAATTACTTTTTGCCTTGTAGATGACTTTATAGGCGGAGGCTATAGAGATAGGGTGATCAATATCGACCAGATGTTCAATGATCGCGCTTCTTATTACTCCACTTCCACCTCTTCGTAACCACTAGGTAAGATAGTGTTCCGGCACCCTATTAATATATGTGTAGAACTTGGGCATTGTGGAGTCCTTGTACCCTCTTGGACAAAACCCCATTCGAACAACCGATATACCTAGCTCCACACGAACAGGTGAATTGATAAACGCCCATAGAGTTGGTCAACAGCAGGATCTTGTCCTTCAGGTTATTGAACAGTAACGGCCGACTAGTAAAGGCTATTCACAACAATGCAGCAGGGAATTTTCTTTTCAGAGACTGTGATATCCTTCTTTTCATGATATGGGAAGCTAAGTCACCTATGAATTCCAAGCTCGTGTACAGTATTTACTTTGGTGCGGATGATAAGTCACGTTTCTATTAAAATTTTCCTCAAAAGATTTAATTCTTCCTCTACAGTATCAGGGATACAAATGGACCGAATGCGAGCAGCGAGTGACCAGATCAGGCTTCGTTTCCGACAAATGAGAACCAAGCTGTAGAAATTTTTCAGTTGACCATTCCATGACAGCTTTCGATAAATTGATCTCTTCAGAGTTTCATCGGTCCTCCTTGATAAGTTCAAATAGAGGACATGAATACTAGACTCGTTTTCCATTTCGAGTGTGAATTTTATCACTGGATGGCAACCATTATATGCATTACTCAAATTATAATGACTATGGCAAATAATACATATGTTATCTACACACCTTTTATACATTTAAAAGCTTTGGATTGTTGACTTCAACTGACCATTTTCTAGACTGACCATGAAACAGTCTGTAAGGAGCGGACCCGATGGAGAACCCACTGCTATACGATCATTCTGTCTGTAGATTGTTTCACTGAGAGTAAATTGTACATTGAATGTACATCCTCAAAGTAGTTCTTTCAGATCTGTAATGGGTATCCCTATGTTCAATTCGTTGTCTTCAATGTATTCGCTCATAAAATATACGATTTCTGTCAGTGGAACGTTCGTAAATAGAGTTTCTACATCTTTGCAGAATCATTTGTGTTATCAAATGATAACATCTTACTTATTTGTTTTATTTTACTGATAACACTCAGTTTATTGACGAATAACATTCGTCTTATTTCCCATCTTAATACATTCACATATTTCCGAATGCAATTTATCTTCCTTACATCCACTTCACGCATGTCTGTTGAACTTTATATTGCCACCTTTATTTATTCACTCATAAATCTAATCAATTCATAACTCATGTATATTAACGAAGTTAAGAATTGTCTGGGCATCTTGATATGATTATGAGCAGCAGTAAATTGTGCTCCAAACGCAGTGATCGGTAAATATTACTGTATAACACTGTGACACTATAAAAAATAAAATATGTACCATAATGTCTAAAATGAGCTCTGGTTGAATTTAAAGTGTGGATAAGGCGAAACGTAACCAGAAATTGTAGGGGATTGATCCAAAATCTTAACTGCTCTCTTATAATCACATATTTATTTTTATTTTTTTGATTACAGCTTGATTCCACACAGTACTTTTTGGGACAAGTATGGAATTTTCAGCATGTAATATCGGTAGCCCCAATTTTGCAGGCCGACCATAGATATCAGGTGTGTGTCGGCAGGGAATCGAACCCCAGACCATGTGCATGGTTGGCGAGAGTCCTAACCACTGTCCCACCGACGCACCGACGTTTACTTCGATCGCATACATTAGATGGAGCAACATAACACGTAATAAAGACGTTAGACATAAAATTCTATTTTGATAAATCACACAGTGATCACACACAGTGATTTATCAAAATAAAATCTTAACCATTATGGAGTTATACTCTACCACAGTACCCAAGTTTTATACTTATATCAATTAGACATAAGATGTTAGGTAAGAAACAAAGGTTAGTGGACAATGTTATACAATTCATTGAGTGTGTGTTAGCGAAGTCACTTACTCGGCTGCACAACAAGCCAGTGACTAGATATTGGTGAAATATTCGCGGAAGGAAGCTTCAACAAGTTCAGTGAATTAAAAAAAAACAACAACAGCAGATGATGGCGATGATGATAATGATAACTCACTTCATCATATTTTTTCACATCAACATAAATATTTGTACCGGGAATTTGACCAAGTTCATAGTAATATGACGACTGTGTACGATACAATACTGTTAATAGGGAAAAGCCTAATCCTGTGACTAGACCAATCGGGACATCAATACACGTTGTGGCTAGAAATGTTACAAGCCATATAAGCTAACGAAACAAAAGAATAATAAACATGCGTATAAATAAGAAGTGTTATGTAATTTTATTTGTAACAATAGATAAAATAGCCAGAAAGAATTTAAAGCACTCTCCATCCCCATGCGAATGGATATATCATTAGCAGTATTGAAGATATGACTCGCTAGCCACTGGGCCAATAATACATACAAAACTGCTGGTCTAAGTGATACCACAACCACTCGAAATGCTTTTATTACTCAAAAAGGTATTGATCATTATCTTTTTTACTCTGAAAAGTGTGTATAACATAATGTGCCAGTATTGATCAGAGTTTTAGTTGTTAGAAATGAATGTTCGGTATTTAACAGCACACACACAAAAAAGAACTACAATTAAAGGCTTCTCATCACAATTTGTTCCTCCAATATTACTAGGTCTGTCTGTGTCTAAATTACTTGATGTTCACACTAATTTAAGGTAAAAGAAACAACAACTAATATATGGTGTCCCTTAATACTTAGTGCTAAGCTCATATGTCTCTATCTAACGACAACCAATATGCGGTTATATAGTTTGAAAGCTGTTTTCACTCTTATCAGAAGTCTCAACTTCAATGAAGGGATGAGAAGACATAAGTTTATGCGAAGAGCAAAAGGTAATCTTTTAGTCAACCGAAGATTCCGTGAGTTATATTCCATTCAACTGGAATGCAGGTCTCTGTTTTTAAGTATTGGTTTCCGGGAATTCCATCGATTTCAAGGATGACCACGAACTGACTACTGTGAGATAGTCAGTGAAAATCACCGAGTACTGGATAGCTATTTCGTCTCTTTTCGAGAGTGAATTCCAGCAGTCAAACACTTGAAAATTCATCTGATGCTCATTAGTCAAGGAGGTGTTGATCAGTTGGAGACGCAAAGCTGAGCATGAGGATAAATTCTCGGCAGTGACATTGGTTGATAGTCATGCTACGCATCGATGATTGGCAAAGGTTAGGATTGATAAAGCCATCGGATTCAGTATCAGTGGTTCAATGGGATATGAGCTCCCCGTGTAACCTGAAGGTTCTGAGTTCTATGCCCTGAGGTGAAGTGAGACGGTGTACCGCTGCAGAGTTATTAACAAGGATAAAACAGCTATCAAGTACTGGCTGGTTCTCAATGGTCCACTAACTGGGATCAATCCGTGATTATTGTCGAAAACATCACTGTGTGGAATGAAACATAACTACAGTGAAGAACACTGAACGATCGTTAGTACAAGTAACCAAATACAAGCAAGAGACAAAGCATGAAAGTGTAGGCTTCCTGATGGAATCTCTGAGATATCAAGAGTCAAAGATTAAGAAGTCTTGACAGGGAGAAGGAACTGTCCGATCAGATTGGCATAATCGAATACTTTTGGTTGATTTTATATTAAGTATTATCGCTTGTATATGGTTAATTTTGTTGACTGTCACTTGAAGTTTTCAATGGAGAGTGGGTAGCGAATCCACAGTGAGTACTTGAGAGATCTGTTTGGTCTTGGTTGGGAACTCTTAGTCATAGTGGGCACCCAGTAGCCCAAGAGAAGTGGAACCGAGGATCTTATAGTTATCAGACCAAGATCGCTGACACTTCAGCCGCTTGGACTACAATTCAAGAATGTCCCATGAGTTTTGACCATTATCAATTTTAATTTTTACATTTTGAACTCTAAGTATTTTTGAGAAATAAGTATTGTAACACTTTTTAAGGCTGTATGACGATTAATCTGTTTATACTGTCAACAATAGTAGTATCACTAATAATCTTCAATTTCTGTTATGTGTGATGCTGATTACTGTTAAAAGGTGATTATAACTAATTGAATTTTAGAGCAGAACTTTGCATACAGGTACACCAGTTGAAGTTGCCACGCTACAAGTAGCTCGTCAAAGTGGACAAAAAAGAGAAATGTCACTTGGGACGTTTTTGAGTCACATCACCAACAGTATCCACCCATTTGTTCTTGGCATCTCTGGGATCCCAGCCACCTCTTTACGCAACAGACTCAAGCCAATAGTCAAAGACTTTGTAGAATGATGACAGGTTTTAGTATGACTACCACGAATTCTTCTTCAACGCCAACCGTAAATGAGTTAACATTGCTCATTGAGATGACCAGTGGCTCGGTGTGCGTAGATGTAGTTTTACGACCCCACAGATTATCCTACTCTCCTAAATTAACACTCCATAATCTAACCATAATATGAAAATGGAAGACAGGACGTAAAGATCCGTGATCAAAGACAGCCAACCTTTTGATACCTTCCACTTTCAATAGCAATGTTTCACATTCATAAAAAAAAGAATTAAGCGAACTTCTGCGCGCAGTACACACTTCCATTGATGAATAGCTAGCCAGAGACAGATGTTAGGTTGCATCCGTTTGAAGGTGATTCACCTATGAACCTATCAGATGTTTTATTTCCACTTACAAGCCTAAGAACACTCTATTGACGATGTTTCTGATGGTGTATTCGTCAAATAAGACTTTAAAACATCTAAAAACTAAATGTACATTCAACCATTTGCCGTGTTCTGAAAGTTTACAAAGATTCCATTCTACTGATAATAATAATTACTACTGATTACCGACATAATAGGAAACAAACAGGTAAACAACAACAAAAAATAACAAGAGTAGACTTACCATATCATATACTGAAACACGATATAACTTTGGTAAGTCTAAAATTTGTAGAATTATAGTTTCAAGGGAGACGACAATAATCGATGACAAAGTACACTGAAGAGAGAGAGAAAGAATACCGTTGTAGAAACAAAATTAGAAGAGAGACACAGAATTTAGGTCGTGAATTTTGTCAGAAATAGAGAAATTTTATGAAACAACACAGTGAGCAGGAAAAATATTTTCAATTTTCTACTGCAGACTAACTAGCAGGATACTTTTGCTAGCACTGGTCGATACATAGTATTGCTTCTACAGTGGTAGTGAAATGAGATAACATGTTATTTCATTTATTATTATTATTATTATTTTGATTACAGCTTGATGCCACACCGTATTTTTAGGTACAGGTATGGAATTTTCAGCATGGATATCGGTAGCCCAAATTTTGCAGGCTAACCATAGATATCGGGTGTGCGCCGGCAGGGGGTCGAACCTCGGACCATGTGCATGGTCGGCGAGAGTCCTAACCACTGTGCCACCGACATTAATGAATACTGCCCATTCACTACCTCCCGAATATATGTTTCCATTTATATGATCGCCGACAATGATGGGATATGGGAAAGAACTTCATGACCAGTAGTACACAGCAGGTCAGGTCTGAGGACAAATACTCGTCACGGATGACATTCGCTAATGGTTGCGACATATTATGAACTGGCAGAAGTTGGAATTCATGGGGCCCAATGGCTTAATGGTCTACGAGCTTGCTCACCTTGTAACCGGAAGGTCCTGTGCTTGAGCCTCAGTGGATGCGTAATGCTGAAGAGTCCCAAACTAGGATGAAACAACTGTCCAGTAACCCCAGGTTTTCCAATGCATCTCTAACCGATGTCAGTTCATGATAAACTCCTGAAACTTATTATTATTTTATTCCTTGCATCCTCAGAAGGACGTAAGGCCACAAGCTTCAGGTTTTTGAAGTTTCAGGACCACTTGAGTGGTTGGTGAAGGTCATACAGCTCAATCACTGATGTCTATAAATTGCATATGCAGGTAGTATTAGGACAACTCCTTTGTCATTATTTTGGAAAAAGTGCTAGCATTAGTATTGCCAACTTCCTTCAGATGGATTACTAAGTGGGCAGATTTTTTTGTACTTCATCACGACTTTGTCTTTGATGAATAATAACCAGAAGATATCATTAACTTTGTGATTGTCGTTTAGTTGGTGGTGACTATAAGTGAAATCCACAATGAGCATTTCATCCCCTTTGGGGCTTCGTCGGAATGATGTACTTGCATCCCAATGACTAATGGTGTACCCGATGAGATGCAAACCTAGGGCATTCTCAACTTCATTGGTGACCTAGCATTGAACGAATAACCTCAAGACATCGTTCACACGTGCGTACAGGTAGGGAACGTGTTAAAATAGGCCAATCACTTCAACAAACTGGTCGAAGAAGCAGCAAAGACAGGACTCCAGGTGAAAATAACCGACTAACCAACAACAACAACAGCAGCAGCAACATCCAGTGCCAATCACCATCAACAGGAGGAATTTGAAAGAGGTTACTTCTTTCACTTATCTATGGAGAATTGTGTCAACTACAGGAGGAACGGACGAGGATGTCAAATCGAGAATCGGGAAGGCAAGAAACACAATCATCAACCTGAAACCAATCTGGAAATCTTTGTCACTCACCATCAACAACAAAATTCGGATTTTCATTACAGACGTCAAGTCAGTCAGTTTTGCTATACGGATCAGAAACTTGGCCATTGTGTCACAAAGAATATTTCCAACAGCTTGTTGCAGACCTTTATCAACAGCTGTCTTCGTTCTGTACTCAAGATCAGATGGCCGGAAATAATCACCAACAAGAAACTATGGGGACAAACAAAACAAGAACCAATCGCTCAACAAATATGCAGGAGAAAGTGGAGATGGATTGGACTCTCGCTAAGGAGGCCACTGGGTGACATTGCGCGTCAGGGCAGTGCTCGAGTGGAACCCGAAAGGAAAGCGGCGAGTGGGACGTCCAAGGGTGACATGGAAGAGATCGCGTGAAGAGGAGTTGAAACAGTATGGACTAACATGGATGCAAGTGAAAAGTACAGCAGAAGACAGAAGCAAGTGGAGGCGTGCAGTTGAAGCCCTATGTTCCACTAGGAACCCAAAGGAACAATAATAACAATAATAATTTCAGTCGCTGGATGGTTAGCGGGCCCGCCTAGTAACTTGAAGGTTTTTTGGAACCATCCTCAGTGCTGATGGAAAGTCCTGAACAAGGATGAAATAGTTATGCAGTGCACTATGGTCCTCTAACTGATGCCAGTCATCTAACCTGAAACAAATCCAATCCCTGCAAACTAATAATAAGAATTTGGTGGAATTCTGGTTATTTAGTTTCATAAAAGAGCAAGATTTAATGTATCTTAACGCAATCCAAACATTCATACTGTGATGTAAAGATTCAACTTGAAAAGTCACTTCTATTCAGTAGTAGCATAATGTCACTCCATCTCTAATAACTAAGTGAAATCAACTGTCAAATTTCGTTATAGGCCAACATCAGTCAGAGAGAACAATGAAAACGACTGAGTACTGGACATCTATTTGGTTCTCGTTTGAGGTCTTTTCAGCAGTGCACACCCACAACGTGACGAAACCTAACAATCGACCACCAGCTAATTGACAGCTGGTGGATAGGCGTCCTAAAGCTGTAAAGAGAAGCCGTGACCGCTGGGGCCCACCATGTCAGAGTGAAGTCGATGTTCATTAAAGGCATTGGTTAAGGATAGTGCTATGTCAAAAAATGACGGAATCCCAACTCAAGTAGCTAGATGGCAAACTAAAGGTCTCGGGTTCAAACACTGTTGGGATTGTGATTGGGCAGTGAGGAAGAGTCCCCGGAAAATTGGATGAAACAGCTGTTCAATGCTCCTTAGTTCTCAATGATTCCTCTAACTGATGTGGTTTCCTGACAGAAACTAATGATTTGAATTAAACTTTTTCAAAGGAATGGATACTGAACGAAGAATATTCTTTTCAATAACTTCTTCATCAGGTTCTACCAGTTATATATACATAATAGTGAACGAATGAATTAGTATTATGAACAACATTAATGTTGTTTAAATATCATCGAATCAACAATAATAATATCAATGGATTACAGTTCGATAGCACCAACATAACAATACACTACACTGGATATCAGACAGGCACATTGGGAAAGATAATAACACAAATTCATGAATTTGTAATCTCCACTGAGAGCCAGGGGCAGTAATAATGGTTGGACTTGTTTCTTCCACACAGAGAGCACAAGTTATTTAAGGTGAATCGCGATAGTCTCTGCTGTTTGGAGTATGCGGTACCTCGATATTTTTGGAAATTTATTTGGTACCCAGTGGATGATGGCGAAGGATTCTTCAGTGCCGATTTGGACCAGGTGGTTCAATATCGAACTGTTGATAACAGTTTTTACTACACCTTTATTTAACCACACTGGTAGGTGTTCCCTAACGAGTATGAAAATCCACGTCCGTAGAACAACGGCCAATATAACTCGCTCCACAATCGCATTTGAATTAATAGATACAATTAGAAGTGGCTAGTCTAGGTACTTCATCTATCAATCTTGGAATCATCATCGATCGTGTAACAAAAATGACTTTTAGTTTACCAGCATTAATAGTTCTTTGAACAGAATTTCTTAACTTGTCAGTAATTATTTCACTAAGTGCGCCACTTTTGATTTGCAGTCGTATATATATAAAGGCTTCTTATTTACAGATAGGGAATAATCCTTTTCTGCTTTTGTGGTCACGTTTTTCTTGATGAACTTTTCTGAATAGCTATTTTTCAATTGCGGTGTCATATACAATCCAAATCCCCACAAATTTCATGGTCTTGAATAACTGAAATCAGATGAAACCCTTACAGTTCCGAATAACAGCATTATTTTATTCCATTTAGATTTTCCTGTCGATTGATTGGACCGAAGTGCTCGCTCTCGGATTAAAATGTCTGCTCCTAGTGAAAATGCTTCGATGATGTCTTGTCATGTGGCCTGAAATCATTTGGTGGATGATGACCAGCAGTGGAGTTCAGAACAATGCACATTTCGTCCTCTTTGGGACTCGTCATCTGGATGTGGTTGCACTAGACAACTTGGGCCTAGTGGATACCGAGTTTGGCGTTTGAAACTAAAGGAACTGGGTTCGAGCCTTGGTGGGAACACCATCACTCATTCGCTGGGTAGAGTGAGTGTATCCACCAAATAGGAAGAACTGCGCGTATCATGGATTCCACTGCTAGTCACCACCTACCGCCAATTGACTGCAAAAAATATCAGCAGCTTAACAGAAACATGAAAGCAGGATATAGTCATACATTAATCATACAAATATTTATATCAATGATGAAATCAATGAACACATACCATTGGTACACTTTGTAAAAATTGTCCAACGAAAGTAACAACAAGTAATATAATAGAACAGGATATCAGACAAGCAACCTGTTGATTCAAATGAAATCATTACAAAAAAAGGAATTAATTATGCAGTTAAGTGAAATATTTATTTATTTATTCAAAAAAAAGCGGGAACGTTTATTCTTACATACTCTAACACAAAAAGCATTTAGAGAGAAAATCAGAGGTTCAGAAAAGACATAATTTCAGTGAATTTTGTTATCAACTGCTGTAGAGATACGCCTTACCAACCAGTGCCAACATGCACGATAATAGACCCAAGGCTTCCTGTCGATTGTCTCCAACCATCGAATAACAACAATTCAGAGTGGACCGTGGTGACGAAGCACATAGGATGTCGACCACACTGTAAACTTTACTTGATAGAATTCAGTCGGCAGAAACGCAGAGGACTAGATGAATGACATCAGTTACTACTACCCTAGTGTCCAAACAAAGTATCTGTTGCAGTCTCCTACAGGAGGTCAGTCGCGAGCACAAACAGCTTAGTGGTATTGTCTCTGACTGCAGTAGTGTGTTACATGGGTTCGAATCTTAGTGGGGACAGTGGGGAAGTACATTAGAACTAACTCGTTGAAGGTGATGTTCAAGGAGACGTGCACAACTATTATAGGATGAAAGAATAGACACGACAAGGAATGGCACCCAACGGACGCCTAGCTGGAAGCTAATGGAAGATAGGAGAGCAGGATGGTGAAAGAGAAGATGACTCAACGAAAAGATGTACAACAGAAGGAGAAGCTGAGTTCAATGTACGCTGCGTTAAATAAAGCACTGTGGAAGAGTGCTAGGAAAGACAAAAGACGATTGTACGACACACTGGCTCGCAACTGAAACAGAACCGGAAGGCTGCAGGTAAAGGAGACTTGAGAACACAATATCAGATAATCTGGTCACATTCCAAGAAGAGATAAACTCAGATGAAAAAACCAATAAAAGATGTTCAATGGAACCTAATTGCTAAGGAGGAAAAACAAATGAAAACAGTGGGCTGATAATTTTGAGCGACTCTTAATCGATCATCGCCTGCAACTCGCCCAGAAATACCACCACCAACACGCATAGAACTGTCTGCCGGTGGACACCAATCCTTCAAAGAATGCAGAAATCCTAAATACAATCGAGCTACTGACTGCCTGTTGGGAAGGCCGCACAGTCAGACAGAATTCCCCCCGAAGCACTGAAAATGGGACACAGAGACCGCTACAGATGTACTCACGCCATAATTGCAAAACGTTTGGAAAGAAGAAAAGCTGCCTATTGATTGAAAGAAAGGCTGACGACCTTGTCAAGCTACCAAAGAAGGGTGACTCATGCCTCAACAAGAACTGACTGGCGTGGAATCATGCTCTTGTCCACGCCAAGTAAAATAGTAAGTTGCATCATCCTGAAAAGAATAAAAGATTTCCTGGAAGCAGAACTCTGCCCCACCGGAACAAGCTGGATTCCAGAAACCCAAATCATGCGCTGATCAAATTGCAACTCTACGCATAAAATGGCATTCAAACCTCTACCTACTTCAACTTCGAAAAGGCCTCCGACAGACAGTGTTTACCGAGGAGTAATTTGGAAACTATTTTAACACTACGGCGTGCAATGCCCAAGTCTTTATCAAAACTAGTGACTCTCACCTCAGTAAAAATTTCTCTTCTGATTTCACCGCTTTATTTGCCGTCCCTCCTCCTTGATTTTTCGCTTGACTTTTATACAAGACTTAATTTTTTTATCCTTTTAAGTCTACTCACCGCATTACATCGTCACACTTTCAGTCCACATCGTACACACCAAATTTTGATTATCCAATCTTATGAGATCTAACCTCTTTATTTTATTATCTGTGGTCACACAATTATCACTGACTTATTACCACCCTTACAACAAATTTGTTCAACTTTTACGACAAATATCTATATGCATACTAATAATTTAAGACAACCTTGTCATCCTTATGTTTCTTTCAATACGACCTTCTTACAACAATTCCATTATGGGTAAATTTGTTTTGATTAAGTCTCACAGTGTTATACAGTAATATTAACTGATGACGTTTCGAGCACAATTTATTGCTCATAATCATATCAAGGTAATCACACGACTTCCTAAATTCATTTATATACTTCGGTTGTTTTTCACTTGATTTGATTGGTAGTAGTATTTTCCATATTTCGGGTATGAGTGATGAATCATTCCTGTTGCACGTGTTTGGTGTAGATTCGATGAACAAGGATTCAGTAATCAACCTCACTCTCCACCTACCTAGATTACTTTTTAGAATTTTAACCCTCTCCCACCCTATTGTGTGGTTGTGTGCTAATGCATGCATTGCAATTGCTGAGCTTTTTTCTAAATTACTTATCTTCTCTGGGTCAACCATTCTTACCTTATTTGTGATAGTATTAGATGGTCGGAGGCAATCGGCAGGAAGCCTTGGACCTAGGTTTCGTGCTAGTCGGCACTCTTCAGCAAAGCGTATCTGCAACCTTGAAGGAACTCATGTCCCTTCTGAGATTCGAACCCGCGTCCCCCAGTGCTGCAGTCAGAGAGGTTACCACTGAACTATTCGGGCTCGCGATTGACCTCCTGTAGGACTGTAGTGGATTCATTCAAGTAACTAGTAACTAGTGTCAAATCAAAACATTCTTACCTTAGCTAAATTCTTATGTTTTGACAATCTGACTACCCCTGACCTACTAGTTTGACCTATGTAGTTGACCCAAATCACAGTCATTGCAGGGTATTTTGTAAATTATATAATTTTGTCTAATCGGGTCAACTGGGTCCTTTAACCTACAGAGCTTGTCCCTGAGTGAGTTTGTAGGTTTAAATGTCACCCTAATTCCTGCTTTATTTAGAATCCTACGTAGGGTCTCAGATGTCCCTTCTTTATATGGCATAACTGTAGATGACTTATATTCTCTCTTATTTATGTTGTTATTACTTGTTGCACAATTCCTTTTGTTTTTCTTTTGGCCTTTTTCAATCTTCCTAATGAATTTTAAAGGATAGTTATTTAAAACCAACGCCTCTTCTATCTATTTTATTTCATCACTTAGGTCTTTTTTGCGCTTCTAAGTGCCATTGTTCGGTATGTTAACCACTTAACTAAGCCTGCCTTAACAGTTAAAGGATGAGATGAATTAAAGCTTAAATATCTATTAGAATGCGTTGGTTTTCTATAAACACTAGTGTGTAGTTTGCCTTCTTCTATTCGTTTTATTTTACAATCTAACATAGCTAATTCTCCGTGCTCATTTTCGGTTTCAAATGTGAATTTTATTCCCTCCACTAGTGAGTTTATGTGTGTCAAGAAGCTAGAGATATGTTCTGTTTTTAACACTGTGAAAGTGTCATCCACATATCTCCACCATATTTTTCGAGTAGGATTAAACGTATTAAGTGCCATATTTTCCCAGCTATCCATAAATATATCTGCTACTATATAAATGAATTTAGGAAGTCGCGTGATTACCTTGATATGATTATAAGCAATAAATTGTGCTCGAAACGTCATCAGTTAATATTACTGTATAACACTGTGAGACTTAATCAAAACAAATTTACCCATAATGGAATCACACTCTACCACAATGCACAAGTTTTATTCTTATATCTTCTTACAACAATCGTTACTGGAGGACTAATTCATCATGATAGACAAGGTGTATGTTAAAAGGGTATTATGACTAGTTTTATTAGATGTTACAATTTGTAAGCAGGTGATGAGAACCAACGAAATAAAATCTATCCATACTGTTCTGCAAACCTACAATTGTTCCAGCTCTGTACAAATTTATCAAGGGAAATTTGTGTGTGAAACATATGAGATAATCAGTACTGAAGAGTTTGTGTTGTAGAGATTTGATTTGTCTCAAGATTTTTCATAACGGAGTGATGTTAACTCAGAGAACCATTGGAAACCAGAGATGAATTCGCTGGACAGTTGTTTCGTCCCACTGTGAAACTCATCGCCAGTACGCATCCACCGAGTTTCAAACCTAAGGCTTTAATGGTCAGAAGGCAAGCTCGTAGACCATTTAGCCACTGGGACCCGACTCATTGCCCCATGAGTTAGTATTTCAATTGAACACCTAGGATTTATTATTCATATAATCATATCAGTAGGTTAATACTGACAAAACGAATAATTTGCAAAAGACTGAATTCTTACTGTTTTTCCAAAACAGATTATACAGTTGCGAATTGACAGAAATAAAAAACTTTATATCCTGTCCTAGTAGCTCAGTGATCAATGAACTCGCCTCATGAACTGCAGACGGTGAGATCGATCCCTGGTGGCGAGGCGAGGTGGGGATCATGGCTGGGCACTGTGCTGAAGTTTCCCGACAAACCATGTCAAAATAATTGTCTAGTACTAATCCCTGGTTTTTTATAACTCTCTAACTAATAACAATCTATGACCGGACTTGATAAACAATAACTATTTAAGGGCATATCGATTAAGTTATCATGTGATTTCTTACGGATAGAAAAGTAAAAATTTCAGTAATAAAGCTTCAATATTTGCTAGGGATAATAATAAAACAAAATGTACTATAACATGTGTAACATGTCCAAAATGTATGACGTTCCAGTTTAACACTAATGCTGATACACGCTAAAATCGAATAACACAAACACACATATATATATGTAGTGATAGCATTCTTCTGGCTTGATTACAAACTGACTTCTGTTAGAAAACCATTGGGAACCAGAGTTGGAGTAATGGACAACTGTTTTCGCCTGGGTTTAGGACTCCAGCACCATGCACTCACGACCTCATCAGGGATCAGACCCAGAACCTTCAGGTTACATGGCAAGCTTGTTGAAGATTAGCATTTGGGCATCATACAAACAAGTAATGCAATGGATAACTTATCAGCGACGGATAATACATAGGGATTTTCACTCTTCTATAGTTTGGTTTCTAACAGTTAGATATGTTTTTACGAGTTGATCATGGATTGATATAAGAAAATTAATCTGATGCTCGCTAGTGGCTTGCTACAGGATGGAGTTTCCTGGAGTTGCAGTGAGAAGTCGTGACCAGTGAGGTCCATCCAGATGTCAAGTGTGAGGATGGATGTCCCACCGACGACATTGGTTGGGTCGCGCTAAATCACGAGTAGGTAAAGTTAGAAATCATGGGCTAGCCATCGAGGAATCGGGTTCCAGTGGCTGAATGGTATACGAGCCAGTTTGCCTTGTAACCGGAAGGTCCTGGGTTAGAACTAGGATGAAACAGCTGTCCAGTACTCCCTGGTTTTCAATAATTCTCTAACTGATATCAATCCGTGATCAACTCATTTACATCATTAAACTCTAAAGTGATATTGGTGGGTGGTGACTACCAGTGGAATCCAGGATGTGCATTCAGTCCTATTTATGACTCGGCAATTAGTGGATATACCTGCATTCCTCAGTGAGTGAGTAAGTGATGGTCTTCCCACTGGTGCTCGGATCAAGTATCCATAGTTTCAAACGCCAAAGCGTTATCCGCCAGATCACTCAAGTCACGAGAGACACCTCTTGTGCAACAGACATTAGTAATTATTGAATTCAGTTTGGACTCGCCCACTGATTGACTGGAATGAAGTGCATGGCTTCAGGCTGAAATATCGGTTCCTTGTGTGGACGTTTCGATGATGTCTGAGCATTTAACTTGAAGTAATTTGGTGGATTGCTTGTCAATGGATGGGGAATGTAGGTACATCCAGAGGAAAAGTCCCAAATAGGACGAAATTTTTCCAACAGGTTGCTGAAGACTTTCATCAACACCTACCTTGGCTCGTTACTGAAGATAGGATGGCTGGTAAGCATGGACGGGCGACAAGGAACTCTGGCAGCGAAGCAACCAAGAACCTACTGTTCAATAAATATACCCAAGGAAAGAGAGATGAATTGGAAATACGCTGGGAAGACCATTGAATTACGTCAGAATTCAGGCCGTCGAGTTGTGTCCGAGTATGGAATTACGTGTTTTGCGTCTTAGGGCTGCAGATGAGATGAAAGAGTATGCGCTGCCTTGGAAACAGTACAAAGAGGACTGGAGAAAACAGAGCGAAAAGGGTATATGTTGCCGAAGTCTTATGTCCCACTAGGAATACAAAGTTATAATTATTGTTGTTAAGAAACCTATCACTATTCGATCAGCGTATTCTGTATTGTATTAAAAATGCTATATCAGAGTAGAGCTGTTGACAGTGTTCTAATTGGAAAGTAAAAATTTTCTTTGGCTTACCGCTTTCAACTTTCTACAAGTTAAATAAGCAACTAAAACACCGAAAACCCATGTGGTTCTAATGGATCAATCCATCATTTTGGAAGAGAAACGAAAATTTACTAAAACAAATTAAACTTCTTAGTTAGATTATGGGTTTGGTGTGTTTTTGGTGCAGTTTACTTATGCGTGTCCTATTAAAAAATCTACATTTTAACTCCAAAAGACAAAAATTTTGACAAACAAAAGTCTACCCCTTTTGTTTTCCATTCCTTGAGTTGGCGGTGGAATACATGGCATCGAAATTCAAACTTTGAAGTCCCAGTAAAGATGTTGTTGTTTCTACGAGGTGGGGTCGCTAACTAACCTACCTATGCCCAACTTTCTCTCTTTTGAGGGCTAACTGCCAGCTAGGCGAGGTTTAGCAGTTAGTCAACCGAGGATTGAACACTGACACCACCCCTGAGTGAATGGCAAACACTGAACCATTAAACCACCCATACTATCTCTAATCTATCTTGTTTATTTCTAAAAATAGACAAAAAAATGTATTATCAATAAAGCAATAAAAGAAGATAGTGCAAACAGCTAGTTGTAAATAAGACATAAGCAGATATACGCTAACCTGGGAGCACATTCCAACGCCATAAGCAACCGAGGAACGAGCTAAAGCACCAGAGGCCGGTTGACAACGAAAGAATCCAGATATTATGTTGGCCATTCCCAGAGCAGTCAATTCCTTTAATAAAATAGTGAAATAATATAAAGAAAGCAATAATGTACAAGTCAAGTTTGTCCCTAATATATACTATGATTAATTTTTATTCCCATGGGTCCCGCAATGGGACATACAGCTTTCACAACTCATCTCAATTTCAATCTATCCTCTGAAGTCTTATTTAGCTGGCACTAGGACTGAACATAAACTCTAAGCTCTCTCTCTCACCTGATTTCCTTCATGTCACCTTTCCTACTCAGAGTTCCATTCAATAGCCTGGCAAATGATGTCACGCAATACACATAATGATCTCTTCAGCGCGTATGCTGACGAGTGCCAACTAGCACGAAACCTAGGTCAAGCAAGGCTTCCTGTGGCTGATTGCCCCTAACTATCTACTATCATCAAATCAATGTGCACTGTGATGGCGAGCTATCTAGAATGGTGGCCACATTGCCAACCTGACTGATAGAATTCAGTCTGCAACAAAGAAAGGACTAGACACGTCACACTAGTTACTGACTAGTGTGCAATGAAAATACCCACTACAGTCCTACAGGAGGTCAATCGCGAGCCCGAATAGCTGGCTCAGTGGTAATGTCTCTGACTGCAGTGCTCACTGGGTGACGTGAGGTCGAATCTCAGAAGGGACATGAGTTCCTTCAAGGCAGTTGCAGATACGCCTTGCTAACTGACGAGTGCCAACTAGCACGAAACCTAGGTCCAAGGCTTCCTGTGGCTGATTGCCTCCAACTATCTAATATCATTTAGATTCCGTCCTGTATATTTGTTAGGCGATACATTCTTGGTTGATTTTCCTCCTGTCAAAGTCTCTTGTTGATTAGCTTTACCGACTAGCCATCTGATTTTCAGTATGAAGCGATAACAGTATGAAGTACATTGGATTGTATAGAAGCACTGAGGCACAGGTCCCGATCTTATTCCATATGCTGAATGTAACAGTGTTCCACATTGATTTAAGAGTAATGAAGGTCTGTCGTGCTTTTCCGACAATGACTGGCTTTGACTTCCTCATCTATGCGATTGACTGCAGTCTAAATATTTCATCAATAAGTCAACACCACAAATTATTCATCTCAGAAGTTAGTAGAACTATAATCACAGTATGAAAAACAATCATTGTGAAATATTGGCGTCACAGATATACAGAACATTTCCTTGCTCTAAGGTTCAATCATAAGCGGTCACAGCAAAGATGGAAAGTCTTGTGTTAAAGCTAAAACTCAATCAGCCCACGCTGGTATTCACTTCCCAGTATGTCGTGTGCATTGTTTTTTTGCCCAAGGGTAACTACACTGAACGCATCTAATTGGCAGTTGTCCTCGAGTACCTGGCCGCTGGAGTGCTTTTGTTTGCTGGCAATACCGCAAGGGACAACAAGAAGACCAGCATATATCATCCCTCGTCACCTGAGGTTGGTCATCCGCAACGATGAGGAATTAAAAAAAACTGCTAGGTGGTGTGACCATTGCTCAAGGTTGTTGTCCAAAGCGGATTACATAATTTTAGAAATATGAACGGCAACCACACCAAATTTACATAGGAATATCAACAAGATTTTCAAGAGACACTCAGGTACTTTAAATACCTCAGTCATTTTAACAGATAACAGCAAATCATTGTGGAAAAGAATCTCCGACACAACAAAGAAGATCAAATGTGTCTCTCTCAACATCATACAGAACAGTAGAAGGCACCAATACACCGTAGTGAGACTCACCTGAGTATAGCCAACATCATAACCCTCTTTTGTAGCGTACAATTTCACCAATGAAATTGTTGTCGCTAATGCAACAAAGGAAATAATCACTGAATCCATTAAAACTTCTGGTATCAACTTGACATCAGGTACAATTGGCGATGGTAGACTAATAGGCGAAAAAAAAGAATAATATGAAAAGAAACATTGTGAGAATGTGTTTATATGTCATATAAACTAAGAGGAATAGCTTTTCAATGTAGATTTATTACACCTTATCGCGCACTAATTGATTATAAACTACGCTGGAAACCACTTAATGAAAATATTGAAGTCTGCAGATCGCGTGGCAATCCATTTCACTCCTCCTTAACCCATGAAAGTTTTCACTTTTTGACCTCCTCGAAACGGAGAATTACTCATAAAAGCACGGACAATTATCTTTTTCAGGGATTTTTAATGTTAGTGACACAGTCTAATGAATGACTGACTGGTTTCAATAAAGAAATTTGCACCGATATGTAGCAGTTCGAGTTGCCACACTTCACTTAGCCCACAAAACAAGAGAAGAAAGTAAAAAGAAATGCATAATAGAGACAGTAAACAGAGACATGAGACAAAAGGAATAACAGTAACGAAGAACAATATAGTCTCATTGGAAATTATAAGTAACAAAGAATGGACGCATCTGCGCTAGCCATTGAGAACGATTTTGAGCCATATCATCAATTGTCACCAGCCTTCATTGGTTTTTACCATCCCAAGGACCCCAATCAGACAGAAGTCTACAGCTTCCTACGTGGTTGGCGTAAGCTAACCGTTGTAGATTTCATTGACTCACACTATGTTTTGTTTCGACCACCACTCGCTATCTCTTTTACAACCTGATCCTATGTCAGCTAACATTGCCTGTCGAGGAGGGAAGGCGATAGTTAGGCAAACGTAACACATGTCCTAACCATCTCAGTCGATGTCACTTCACAACCTCGTCGATTGATTTCCCCTCCTTACCTAGCACTCAACCAATGTCTAACCTCAATATTACTCACCTTATTATGCCACCTAACACGGGAAATAGCACGGAGACATCTATGATCAGAGACGACTAGCCTTTTTATATCTTCCACTTTCAATGGCCACGCCTCCCAGTCATGAGATAATAGCTGCGCACTGCTAAAGTCCCCACAAAATATCATGAAACAGCTGTCGAGTGCAATCCATGGTTTTTAATGACTCCCAAAGTAACATTAATCCATCGTCGGACTTGAAACCAATCAAATCCCTTTAAAGTAACACTTGCAAAATGAATTAGCCATCCGTCACTAGTTGGTAGTAATCAGACAGTAGTGCGTCGGTGGCACAGCGGTAGAATACTCGCAAACCACGTATGCGGTTTGAGGTTCGATCCCCGGCCACTGACGCACTCCCTTACCTTGACAAACCAGTAATAAAACTGGAAAAGAGGGAAGGTTGGGCATGAGGCTAGCCGACCCCATCCCGTAAAAATAAACACCACCACTGCTACAGAAACTTTAAGCTTGTAGATTGAAACTCTATGTTCCACTGGGAACGTAAATGAATAAAAATAAAATCAGACGGTTTGTCTCTGTCATCGATTAGACTGCATTGGTCGGTCAGTCGTTAATGTACATATAGTCATCTATAATTAAACAGTAGAGAAAACTGAGATAATTCTACAGAAGAGGTACTATAAACGTCCAGGCAGATCTACAGACTTGTCAACGGCTCTCTACGTCTATTCTTATAGTCTTTTAAATTTTCCTTATTCAACTTGGTTAGTGATGACTAAGTCTCAATATATTGAAGAATGGCGATTCATATGCATGTGGACAAAAGTGGGAAAACGTTATCATGAAACCTACCCAACTGGAATTTTACCAACAATAGCGACACCATATTTTTCATTCAATGAACAAAACTCTGATATAATGGTACAGACAGCAAGCTAGAGAAATGAAATAAACAAAATGGTTAAATCAGTATGGTCAAGACAGTGGAAAAGAGTTCTTCTCTATCTGTTAACAAGAAGCTTCCATGTTGTATGAGATTGTAATTCACAGACGGAATAATAACCGACAAGTTGAAAACATTAGTCCGACAATTTTCTGTTACCAGTGTGCTGCAACTCAAGTCCTGAGATCACGCTCGTTGACCACTCAGAAACTTAAGCCGGAATTTAATGACTCATAACCTGGGGGACCCGGACTGCATTACTGGTGGGGTGATGGATGAGCACAGCTGGGGAGTCCCAAGCTAGGACGAAACAGCTAGCTGTTCAATACTCTCCGACTGATGTCAGTTCGTCATGAAATCTTACAACTGAAAAAAATGCTTTTCAACGACTTCGCTGTCAAGCTGAACAGTCGTATTTATATTACAGATGCAGGCATCAAGTTGCCCAGTCAGTGTGCATATGATAACGGCAAAGATAATTAATATGATTTATAAGGGCGGAGAGTTGAAGTGGATGAATTATAAAATTTTGAAAGATTACTAAATAGATGAATTGGAAATAAGAGTTCTAAAGTACCTCAATTTGTGTCAAAAATAAAAAGTCTCCTAATAATGATAACAACAGTAACAGCGAAGATAAAATGAAGTGGAATTGTGGCTCGTACTACTGATAAGATTTATCAGTAGTATACAAAGAGATGTTCATCGGCATAAAAAAACAGGAAGATAGATTTGATGTCAGAGAAGGCAGATGACACAGCTTTGTACAGATACATGGGAGACGTGAAAGGAAGAGAAAGAAATACAAAACGAAGGAAGGCTAGAAATAGTACAACACGGAAGATCTGTGCAAATGGTGCGTTGAAGATAAGGCGTGCATAATTTGCCTATATAGAGATACCCAATTTTAAATTAACATCCCTATACCAAGTCATCGTCTTCTGCCGTTATAAAATGAATTTAACCAATACACGAAGGTAAAGAAAGAGGTTTAAGAAAACGTGTTTAAATAAACAATACATTACATAGGGATGAGTGACCTGACCCCAGAAGGTGTTTACAAATTCAAGACTTCTTCATCCTATAAACACCTTTTATCAACCAAATCGGGTAGTGTCCAGTTAAGCGTTTCTAGGGAACGCATTTACGACGGTCAATATAATCAGTTCTGCAGGGACACGTGAAAGAGTAGATGCACATATTAGTGGAAATAAGCAGTAGTTTGTCTTTCACCTTCTTACACCAAACTTTTTGTAACTGAATAATTATTTAGAAAATGCCTCTTGGACGATCTAATCACAATATTTTTATTTATTTGTATGTTTCTTGGAACTTTGTAATTATTATTATTATGTGCGTCGGTGGCACAGTAGTTAGGACTCTCGCCGACCATGCACATGGTCCGGGGTTCGATCCCCTGCCGACGCACACCCGATATCTATGATCGGCCTCCCGACCGAAAGCTGCTACCTTGACGTGGTGGTCGGGCTTGAACACTGTAATGACCTAACAAGCCATACTGGCTGGAACTTATGTTCCTGCAGGTCCTACCATGCCAGAAAGGTTGTTTGGATAGCGGTTAGACTAAAAGCAGTTACCCAATCCAATCCTATGACTTCAAATAAATCACAAAATATCATGCCGGATCGGTCGGGGCCCGGATTAACAACGACCGCGCTTTCTGCTGCAGAAGTGATAAATATGCTACTGAGACACACCAAATAAAAAAGAACAATCAAAAACAGGCCGTGTGTGACCGGCCTCAAGCAGTTGTCCCCTGGGCTCTGCGGTCACGCAACCAACTTCCACGGTGTGGGCAGCCGGGAAGTAACAATCGCCCTCACAATCCGAAGTGCACGTGAAACCTATGGTGGGCCTGCAAAATTTGGGCTACCGATATCCATGCTGAAAATTCCATACTTGTACTGAAAATACTGTGTGGAATCAAGCTGTAATCAAAATATTAAAAAAATATATCCGTTTTTCTTCTAGACTGTATCACTGTCCGGACAGTTGCATATCATCTGTTAACTTGATCCTTAGTATTTGTCCTTTTCCCTATTTGATCGCTAATTCTAATACTTCCCTTTTTTAGTTGTGCGATACACTGATAGTGTGTTGTCTTACGATGTCGTTTTGCTTGAGTGGAGGAAGGTCATTCTGATCACAGACTATCTGCAGGAAGTATTGATGTGTGATTCTTGCTGACAGAGTTTCTGATTCCACCCTGTTGGAGTATTTCACTTGATTCTAAGGCACTTCTTACTGTTGAGTTTTAGTCGACTAATTTTGCTCCACAGTACCTGTTTGGTACCTAGAAAGTAACTTTGTCTGAATAGCTGCCTAACTCCACTATTGAGATAATTTCGAGTTTTACATGTTAGTACTGTTGATAAGAACCATGCAGATTTAACCAAGAATAATCGTCTTGAGAGCATTTTGTGACTGTGCATGTCTCAAGGAAGTTTCGGACAGCTATATGGTGGAACGCAAAGATCAGTATCCTACGCTCAGACCAAAGTGAGTTGGTTATGGTAGCTACACTTGTATCTTCTTTGGCAATATTATGTCCCTAGTAGTGATTTCTCTGCTCATATTTCTTTCAATAAGCCTTCTAAGATATCAATTACTTGAGAGTGTTGAACGAAGTATTTTAACTTCTTTGTCTTTAGAGAATATTTCCACAACTCTGGGACACTAGGTAAGGTTTGCAACTGTTGAATTTAGTGTACTGCCCTGTAAAGTTTAGCTTCCAGTAGATCAACACTTTTTAATAAGCTGCACAAGACTTCGGCAGGTCAAGTTGCCACATATCGGAAGAGCACAGAAAAGAGTGAAGAAGAGGAGAAATGGACAAAGTGTAAAATACCGAGATGAAGATTAGCTCTGTCATGAACAACTTTTAGCCTTATCATTATTAATCTCCAAGCATTGATTATTTGCATTCGGAAGAACCCGGCACAGGTACTCCACAACGTACAGGGTGACTTAAAACCAGCAGTCAAATACTTTGTAGACAGTTGCCATCTTTTAATTACCACCTACCTCGAACTCTTTCCCAGTCTAATAGCGTATATCTTAATTAACTCAATCGTCTAGGTTCCCCCCACCCCCCTTTCCTTAACACTGACTATGACTAACCAGCTAACACGACCAACTGAACTGATTCAAAATCCGGATCTTCTACCGAATAAAAGCCCCTTAACATCTAGGCTTCTACAAAGACATAAATATCGATTAGTCTTGGTTGCAGTTTGCAAATACAAATCACATTAATTGAAAGCATCACTTAGTTGGGTGGCGTAAATTTTTGTACTACCAAATATTGACGCAATGACATGAAATGCTCTTTCTGTGACAGCAGTTAATTGTTTGTTTTTTATGAGGAAAAAAAGTAATTCATCATTTTTACTTTTCTGGAAGTATTCAAAGAGCAGTGTCAATATTCTTCAAGCGCTGTGCAACTGAGAAGAAAAGAAATCCACGCATAGAGGTGTGGTAGTGAAACCAGCCTTTCTTTTTCTTTTTCTCAGCAGATAATTTGTCAGTCATGTGATGAACAGAGATCTACTCAATACGTATACCTATACATGATACACATATAAATATTATAAAAGTATCATATTTAGAAGCAAAATCATCAGATAACTTCATTCCGAAACAAAGACTTTTCATTAAAACAAAAAATATGTCACAACACACGTGATTTTCTAGTAAATACTTAGGCATTAGACAGAGTATCAAGTTTAACTTTTTGCAGAATTGAAGCGTTCGCTATAACATTTTCTATTGAACAAATTATTAGTTTGAGCGATTGTTAGAATATTTAATTAAATCTTAGATTTCACGGGTCATTGATTGGACCGAAGTGTTCGGTCTCATGTTGACATGTCGGCTTGCAGTGCATATGCTACTATGATATCTGATTACTTAACTTGAAGTGAACTGGTGAATTGTGACTAGCAGTGGAATCCAGGATAAAGCGCATTTCGTCCTATTTAGGACTCGCCAATTGGATGTGCCTGCATTCCACAGTGAGTGATGATGTCCCCACTGAGGCTCGAACCCAGTGCGGAATGCAGGTACATCCAGCTGACCACGAGTCCCAAATAGGACGAAATGCGCATCCTGGATTCCACTGCTAGTTACCATCCACCAAATAAAACTTCTAATTGTTAGAATAATCTAAAGATAACAAGCTTCCATCAGTACCTGCCTTGACTTGGTATTGAAGATCAGATGGCCAACTAGAAAGGGATGAACTATAAGGAACTCCTGGAGGTAACAAACTAATCAAGAACCTATTGCGCAACAATTATGTAGAAGGGAATGGAGATGGATCAGATACACGCCGGAGATATCGTTGAGTCATATTAAAGAAAACGTGTTCAGCAAATAATTACTCTTTTCGGCGACATCATTCTCAAGCTGTACAATAGCGCATATATATGGTTAATTCTCTTAGAAACAAAATGAATACTTCAAAGATTTGTCGTTAGAATTTTAAAGTTTAGATAGCAAATTTTGTTAATTGGTTAAAAACTAAAATACGATTAAATAAGCAAGTTGAATGACGTAATCCAATTGACGGGGTTGAGTATGGCTCAACTAAGATTAAAACAGAACAAAAGTCAAGTTAGCAACAGTGGTAATAAGCGGTAGAGATTTAATAAGAGGTAGGGGAAGAAAATATTGTACAATTAAGAAGCAAACAAGCGAGAAAAACACGAAACAAAATTACGTAATAGGTGTTAAGATAGGTCAGGTTTACTTAAGATTAATTGACTGAACAAACTTTTGTATGCAGAGTTCAGGTTTTGATATGTAAATTGCCATTGTGTCTGAGCTTTGATTCGTACTCGTTTAGCAAGATTCCCATGAATTCTCTAGATGACTTTGAAGTTACTTTGTGGATTTGCTTGGTGTTCCGATTCGATCAAGTGTTCCAGAATAGAGCTTCAGGGGGACTTTTTTTCTCCTTTTTAAAACCAT